ACCTTGGCACCAGGCCAGGGACCTCAGACCATGCCGCCCACCCAGCATGGCTTGATGGGGGACCAAAGGTGTGACCCCCTGCTCCAGTACTGGGCCAGGGGACCTCAGGCTGCTCCCCTTGCCCTGGGCCTAAGGACCTCAGGCTATGACCCCCTCTTGGTGGGGCTTAACAGGAGACCTCAGGCTGTGCCCCCTGCCCCAGTGTTGGGCCAGGGGAACTGAGGCTGCACGCCCCTCCCCCACTTGGTGGGGCTTGATAAGGATGGGACTGACTGGATCTGGATCTAGCCCAATGTGGGGAGGGGGGCAGCTGGGTCTGGATCTCGCACAATTTTGAGGCACACATGGGTGGGTGGGGACTTGACTCAGGTTCCCATGGTGCACCCCAGACTCTGACAGGAGGAAGATTTTCATATACATTTTACTAATTTTTTTTCATCTCTGACACTTCTATTATAGAGAAAGGGCAAATAGCAATATTAAATTATTTCTTCTAATTAATCCCTTTTTAATGTGCATGAATTTCATGCACCAGGCCACTAGTTTAAAGATAATATTGGATATGCAATAGATATTGAGGCTTAAAGAGCAGTATTGATATCTGTATATTTGAGCATGTAGTAAGATGAATATGATATATATATATATATATATATATATATATATATATGGAAGAAAGGAGGGAGAGAGAGAGAGAGAGAGAGAGAGAGAGAGAGAGAGAGAGAGAGACAGATGGTAGAGCATAATGGTTTGAAACAGGGGGTTTCACACATGAGCATGCATCAGATTCACTAGGAAGGCTTGTTAAACACTGTTTGCTGGGACCTATCCCTAGTAGTCTGGAGAGTCTGGGGTGGGGCCTGAGAATTTGCATTTATGATAAGTTCCCAGGTGATGTTGATGTTGCTTATCTGGGGCCTATACTGGGAGAACCATTTGTTTAGAGTTTGGTTTCAAATGGTGGATGGATCACCTGTCTACCCTGAGTCTCAGTTTCTTTATCTGTAAAATGGGGCTAATGATCCTTTCTCACAGGGTGGCCAAGGTGATTCAGTGAGACAACCAGGGTCAAGTACATGGCACAGTGCCTGGTGCAAACTTCGGGGCTCAATCTCTGTGAGTCATCCTCCACTTCCTCTTCCTCTGCATCACCAGTGAACTTTGGTGCTGAGGAGCCTGGAAAATCACCTGCTCTAATCCTCATGCATGAGCAGTCCAGGACTTCGGTACCTCGGTAAGTTGTGACCTTCTCCAGATCGGACACCTAGCTTGTGGCACAGCCAGACCTTTCACTTAGTATTCATAATGGCACTTAATTTGGTATGCAAGACTAAAGAGGGGCATGATATATATGAACAAACAAATGCACTAAATGTGGAAGGAGGATGTGTTCTGTGATGGTAAATAGTGTGTCATATCAGTATCTAAAACTTGAGAATTTTAGGAAAAAGTATAATAAAATCTACTTGCTGAGGGAGTGAAATGAGGTGGAAATAGCACCATGAGATGCACATTCCACCTCAAACAAAGGTGTCTTGAGGGGCTGTATTATGGAGAGATAACTCCTTGAGGAGAAGCTAAGAATGTCATTAAAGGAATAACAATGTCAGGAGCAAAGCCTGTGGTCTAGCAGGGCAGGGAGGGCACCAATTTGGCTCTGAGACCTAGTTAGTGTGGCATCTAGATTAGTACCTGCTTCCTCTTCTGAACCCCATTTCCCATTCTCTACGGTTCACCCCAGCTTCTTTTGATGAAATCTAACATCTGAATAACCCAGAAATGATGGCAGTCTCCATGATCGTTACTCAATTTCTTATTCCCTTTCTCTCCCTCCATCCTCCCCTCTTCCTTCCCTCCTTGCAAAAATGACTCAAAAAGGGGACATATGGGTACAAATTGGATTTCACAATTTTACGTCTACCATTTCATTGGTTAAAGGACACTTTTCATTTTGAATTTAATGAGTGTCAAAAAGCCAAACAAGCCTTTACCCAAACCCTCCTCCCTGCCCGCCTTGCTGGGTTGTGTCCTGTTGAGCTCCATACCCTAGCCATGCTAACTCTTAATCCCATTTCACACACCCCTCATGCCTTTGTGCAATTTCCTTTTTTGTCTGTCCTTCAACACCAAGCCCCCTTGCCAAGGCAAATCACTGTTTTCTTCTTCAAGATCCTACTTTCTCCTCAGAGTCTTTCCCAGTTCCAGCTGGGTGTTTCCTTCCGTTGTGTCCCCATGGCGCTCTGCTTATGCCCCTAGATCACACCTGACACAGAAGTCTAACTCTCCTTTGCACCTTGGTGGCTCATATGCTCCATTGCTCCTTCCCATCACTTAGCTCTAGGAAGGGGCACTAGAACATACAGTGCACTCGCCACCCTCCCTTACCCGAGTTATTCAGACCAGGAGCAGACGCCTGACCCAAAGGGACCAGTGCACAGGCACCCCAACCACTGTGACACAGCCTTCTACAAAGGATTCTGCTTCCTGGGAATGGCCTTGGAGGTGGGGTATTGGCCACATTCTCTACACTGGGATGTTCCAGTTGGTCATTGGGTTGTGAGGTCATGATAGAGCACTGAGGCTGGTGGCTGTGCTGGACCTTGGGCAAGACAAGCAAAGCAGAGAAGCAGCTTGGGAGGGGAGGGGCCAGGCCCACAGGGAGAAGGAAGCAATGATGAGGAGACGATGCGCATTGAGGGAAGGAGCGAGTGGCCCTACAGGATTTCAGACTCCTGTGGCCTGCCATGTCTCCTGCCTTGGGTAGTAGAGCCCCACCCCATAGGCCTTCTCAATATTGCCTCCCTCCATTTCCTGAACTGGTTTAATGGGTTTCAGTTCCTTGTAACCAAAAGAGCCTTGGTTAAAAGAAGTTTTACCTCCCCCTCGGGACTGCGAGATTCTAGAGGTCGGGAACTTTATCTTACTCTTTCTGCATCAAAAGAATGGAGTTCAATGCATAGAAATACATTTGTTGAATGAATGCTGAGCAATCAAATGAATGAGTAGGCCTACTGGTAATGAACACAGGGCATTGCTTGCCTCGCTGGGATCCTGCCCCTTCACACCTTTTTAATACAAAAAGCTCCTTCCCCTTTCATCATCGAAACTCCACTGCTTATGTCTTCCAGCACCTGGAGTCCGGACTCTGACAAGTGGAATATCCCCGAGGTTCTTTTCGCTTTAAAAACACCAGGCCTGGTACATTGGCATCTGAGGAGACAACAGAGACACATGGGACGGCAACAATAGAAGACGGCACACCTGCTCCAGAAGAAACGTGGGGAGAAGCAAGCTGTTTGTAGAGAGATATAAGTATAGCTTTTATTTTTTTTTTAAACCAACCCAACATTTCCACTGGCAACTGTCAACATAGCTTATGACATGAGCGCTGTATCTTTTTAGTTATTTCTTTTTCTTAAAAAAATGTGTTTAAAATTAAACAGGTTTTTTTATTTTATTTTCCCCCCTTAAAAATGTATTTATGTCAATGCAGAAAGCCTGAAGATCTGTGGGCAGTTTTGTGTGTGTGTGTGTGTGTGTGTGTGTGTGTGTGTGTGAAGCCAGGTCCTTTCAAAGTTTGCTGGGAGAAGCTCTAGAGGGCAGGACAATCTCTTTTTCTATAAACTCGGGCTCCATGGGATTATGGCAACTAAGATTCCTCCTACCGGGATGAGAAATAGCCCACAGGCTTAAAAAAAAGAGCTTTAGGAGTTTTTAAACCAAGCAGGAAGGTGGGAGATGGGGAGAAATTCCAGCTCCCATCTTGTGAAAACGCTTTCAAACTTGGCCTAGGGGTCCAGGAGAGGTGAAAGGGACCCCTTGCCTTCTTATAAACCTCTATGTTTTTGCATTACCTCAAGAAATACAGCCAGACCGCTTAGTACCGTGCATGACAGTGAAGGGTGGGCGAAGCTGACCTTTCTCAGAAGCACTGGCATTTTAAATATCTTTGCCCTTAAGTATCTCCCTAGTGGGACATCCCATCTCTCCTGGCTCAGATACAAAACTAAAGATAGTACTCAAGAAGGTGAAAACCCATTTTGTGTCCCCAGCTGCCCTCTGCCATCCCACACCACTCCTATTTCTGTCCCTTGTCTTCATTGGGCTGGCCTTCCTGCAGAAGAAAGAACATGGAGACATGGCCAGCAGGAGACAGAATTTGAAAGGCCCGGGCAAGGAAGAGAACAATGACTGCTTCTTTTGAACTTTGACATCCATCTCCTGCCACCACCCCACCCGGATCTTTGGTGCCCTGCGTGGGTGTGCAAGATCTCTTCGACCCAGAGACGAAAAGGAGATGGGGGACAGGGCCTTGAGGGGGGCTGAGAGGCAGCTGTCACCTGCTGAGAGTGGGAGAGTGTGTGTCTGACAATTCACGCCTCTGCCCACTGGCTCAAACCTTGGGTTCCTCCACAGCGCCCAGCGCCTTTGTCACGAACGTCAGGGAGAAAAGACAAAATGAACGGATGACGAGCAAAACCTGATGGGAAAATGAAAGCAACCATGATAATAATTCCGATGAGGAGAGAGCCCCAAACCAGCCACACGGCTGAGACTGATTTCCACCACCCGCCAGGTGAGTGAGGACAGCGGTGCATCAAATTGCACAGACAGGAGGAGCCCTGCCCTGATGACAGTAGATGCACAGGAGGAGTCAGAAGGCGAAATAGAAGATGGTGAAGGGATCTGACCTTGGCTACAGGTCAGAGACATGGCGGGGGTGGGGGTGGGGCGAATGGGTGGAGGTGGATTTGTTGCTGTTGTTGGTTTGTACTGAATTAAATACTTGGAAGTGCGGGTGTTTCCCCCATTCTGTCTGATTGCTGAAGACTCTGCCCTTTTGGATCACCGCCGCGGTGGAGGTCTGGTGAAGTCCCTGGGGCTCGGGTCCCGAAGCCACCTCTCCAGGGCTGCTCATCCCCGGGAGGTCCCTGGGGGAGGGGGCACCCTTCTCTCTGGAGAAGTCGTAGGCCTGCCCTGCCGGAGGCAGTGTCTGTGGCTCAGAACCCCTTGATGTAACAGTAGGCCTCCAGCGAGGCAAAGAGTATGTAGAGGAGCCACAGGGTCACAAAGAGCCCGGTCGTGGCCAGCTTGCAGCCCCGGGGGCCACCCAGCTCCCCGCCCAGGTGGGGCCGCCGGCGGTACAGGAGCACGCTGATGCAGACAAACGCGAAGATGGTGAAGAGGGTGACGAAGAAGGCCAGCGTGCCCGCAGACACGCGGAACTCCTCTCCCTGCATGGCCCAGTAGATGGCGGCCACGGACCAGGCCAGGCCAAGGCCCAGGAAGACGTTGACGGCGTTGCTGCCAGTGACATTGCCGATGGAGGCGTCTGCATACATATCGTGAATGGCGGCGGCTTTGCTGGCAAAGGTATCTGGAAAAGGGCAGAGACAGATGGGAGCTGGAGGAAGGCTGAGACGAGGCGGGCCTGCCTTTGCGTGTGTCCAAAGGGCAGCTCGGGCCGGCGGGCTGAGCCTGGGAAGCAGAGGCAGCTCTGCGACTAGCAAGCTGTGTGGCCTTGGCCAAGTCACGTTATTCCTCTGAGCTTCCTGTTCCCCGCCTGTCGGAGTCTGAGAGGTTTCTAAGGGTCTTTCTGGTCCTGCTGTTTACCAAGTGGGTTTGCTGTTCCCTTTTGACTAATTTTTTCAGGAAGGGAAGTTTGTTATCCCATAATACCTCCCTGGGGAGCCTTGACATCCTGGGAAGCTGCTCAGAGTAGAGGCCTGCCTATGACTGTCACCTGGGGCATTTTGCTCACATGACACAGACAGCTTATTGCTCAGTGCCTGTGGGCTCAGCACTGCAGGTGTGGACAGAAGACGCACTGGGGAACCGCAATGGGGACGTGCAGGTGAGCCCTCGAAGCTGGTGTCTAGCACAGGGCCCACAGGCTGTTTGATGTAGATGTGGCCATGGAGTGTAGACCCGGGAGGGACTGTCAGGGACTATTTAGCCACCCTTTTATTTTATAAGTAAGGAAAATAAGGGTCAAGGAATCTACCCAAAGTCAAATGGGAAATTAGCAAGAGATTTGACCCTAAAAGCCTCCCAAGGGCCCTTTGCATACCATCACTTTACATCAAAGCGTTTCAGCCAAAGCCACAGAATCAGCTGGGGAGACCTTGGCACAACCTCCTTTGAGCCCCTAAAACTGCCAGCTGCTCCCTGGAACAACTGCAAGAACTTGGAAGTGGCCCCAACTCCCCTGCCGCTGTCCTGGCTGGCCTCCTTGCCACTTTTCTCAGAGCTCCCAGAGAAAACGTCTTGCCTTTGCTTGCCCATGACCTTGCTTTTTTGCCTCTGGTCCTCGGCAATTTCTTTATTCGCCTAATCCAGTGGAAGACACTTTGTACTCACAGGTGTCCTTAGCAGAATGCTTGTGGGAATTTCCATTGTGACACCTTCAAGCAGGCTAGCCTTTAGCCTCTCAGGGACTGCCAGAGGGAAATATGCTTTGAATTACATTGTTTGCAATCTATTCATATAATGTGGAAGTTACTAAACTGGGTCACTTATGCAGATAACTTAACCCCTGTGGGCCTCGGTTTCCTCATCTGTCAAATGGGTATAATAGCTACCCATATGGAATAAGATTGTGGTGAGCATTACAGGGACAAAACACATAAACTGCGTAGTGCCTGCCGTTATATCAAGGTGCCCAAGAAATGTTAGCTGTCATTAGAATTGTTATCATTAATCTCTGGTTGACCCCTGTGCACCTGAGTGGCAGAGGGTGTGTTAAGCTCAGATCTAAGATAGTAAAGAAGATAACGAGGCAAAGGGTCACGTGAGCCCAGTGACATCCTCTTTGCAGACCCGAGCACCTGCACTCTCACCTGGCACAGAGGTGCCAAATGCCACGAAAACAACAGCTGTGACCGAGTCCTTGAGGCCGATGGTGCAGCCAAAGTGGGAGGCCAGGTCCCCGATGATGGCTGTGAGCACACCGATGATGAGGATGGAGACGAAGAAGCAGGCCCAGCCACTGCAGTACTCTGTGGGGGGCACGCAGGCAAACAGCACCTTCCAGAAGACCGTCAGGAAGTGCATGACGTAGTCAAAGCAGGAGGGCAGCTTCTCCTCGCCTGATTCATCCTCCTCCTCGTCCCCAGCTGGAGGCAAGACAAACAGGCGCAGGAGAGGGCGGCCCCATTCTTGAGAAAGTCGAGTCTAACCCCCATCATGAGCACAGTCAGCTGAGGGGAGGCTCTAGAGCTTTCCTGGGCAGCCTGTGTGGGCCACGGCGTGGGCACCGCAAAACAGCTGAGAAATGGGAAACGAGCTGGGGTGTCCCGTTGGTCAATGTGAATGCAGGGCACAGAGGAATGAGCAAGAGAGGAAAGAGATTAAGAACTAGCAGGGCAGGACACAAGGGGGGCAAGGCAGTGGAGGAGAGAGGCGGGTGGAGCGGGCTACACTGGTTGTCTAGGTGACATCAGCAGTGTGCCCACTCTCCGCTGGACACCAGTGGGGCTCCTCTAGGATTTTCCTGACACGGCTACTGCAATAACCTCTTGGTTCTGGTTGCTAACCATCCCCAGAGGGACGACTGTCATTCCAGATCATGTGGGCGCACCAGAGCCAGCGCCATCCTCTGAACATCCCACGGGACAGAGCGGGCCTGGGCTCCGCGTGTCCTTGCCAGGAAACGTGGGCAGACTTGCCCATTCAGCAGCCCGGGATCAGAGGATATGCTGAGGCACGCTGGCGCCTCGTCAAGGGCAACCTCTGTAATGCTTCGGCACAACCCATGGAAGCCGGGTTTCCAAAGAGCAGGAGTCAGGACACTTGCGTCCCAATTGCAACTCTGCCATGGAGAGAATCTGTAACCTGGAGTAAGTCACCTCTTGTTTCTGAACTTCCTTTCCCTTTGAAAAGGGAGGGCGTTAGAGTGTATGCCCTAGATTCCATGTACTGTCTCTTTAGGGGCAAAGTAAGGTCACCCAAGGGGGAACTGGGAAATTCAGAAGCAGGCCAGGTGAAAGTGGGCCAGCGGCCACCACAGCATCAGCCCTCTCTCCCTGGCTGTGCTTTACAGTGGCTCTGGGGCCTTGGGATAGGACCCCATGGGTTGCTATGACAACAAAGTCTCATGAAAAAAGAAAAGGCAGTACAAGGAGGGCTCAGTGGTGCTGAGAGGCTATAATGGTGGTGGTGATGAGAGCCCTGGCATCCCATTCCAACAGGCCCATGGGCCTTTGGGATGCTGGCTACACTGTGGTCCCCCTGAGGGGACCCATCAGTAAATGCTGCAGGAGAGGGATTATCCAAGGTGGAGATGTGTTAGGGTGGGAAAGCAAATGTTTCAAAAACTCCAAATCCCAAGTTCACAATTCAAGGGTAAAATTGGAACAAAACTTCGGGTCCATGTTTTACAAAAATGAGGAACAAATTAATGAGAGGAAGGAATGGCAGAACCAGAATTGATGGAGCTTGTGGTTAGTACCAGACTAAATAGCTACATTTCATACAAGTGGATATTATCCTCATAGAGTGATACCTTTCTGCTGACTTTTCTGATAAAGGTAGCAAAAGTTCCCTTTTTTGGGTAAGAAAACTGAGGCCCAGATAGGACAACTTTGGATGGCAGAACGAGGTCTTGAGCCAGAGATAGCCCTGCTGTTCCATGATCGCTCCCCAATGGAAACGAGCTGGGGGGGTCGCATTGGTCAATCTGATCTAGTGAAACAGACAAGCATCTGGGCTAGAGCTTAGGAAGACCAGGCATAGATCTTCCCAGAAATTGGCAGGCTGTTGATGTGGCTATTTTATTCCTCTGGTGTTACCTGCTTCTCCAAGCCAGGCCTGTGCCCATCCTGAGATCCTCTTACCTGCACTGACAGTGATGGCCTCCATGAATTGGTCCCTCCAGGAATGGGTCCCCACGACCAAGGCCATATTTGTCTTCTTGATCAGTTTGTCCACTGTTTTCTGTCAGGGAGATACAAACTTGGAACCATGAGGTTAGAATGCTCAGAACCATGGAGGAGTCTGGTGTTTCAAAGGAATGAAAGACGCCCTCCATCCCAGGGCGCTCTGTATGCATTCTACAAGTTACGGATAGAATGGAAACCCCCCCCAGCTCGTTTCCATTGGGGAGCTACTGGGGCAGTTCTTCCATTTCTCTTTTCTTTGGCTGTGACTGCTGACATTGGATATTTAGAGCAATACAATAGAGAACAATAGTGATGATATCAATAAACCTTGCTCTGGAGTAGTAAATTTTAGTATCTTTGTTTTAAAAAATACACTTAAGCCACAGCAATAACACACCTAGAGGCTTTAGAGCCCATTTATTCCATACTAGAGGCCCATTGCATGAAAATTCGTGCAAGAATAGGCCTTCCTTCCCCTGGCTTTGCTCCCAGCCTCCTGGGAGCCAACAAGTCCCCACTTCCGGCCAGAGCACTGCTCTTGTAGCTCCCTCTGCCCCCAACCCTCACCCCTCATAGCAGGCATCTTGCCCTGCCTGCTCTGGGCCTGCATATACAAATTAACCTGCCATCTTTGTTGGGTTAATTTGCATACTTGCTGCTGATTGGCTATGGGCATACTGGAGGTATGGTCAATTCACATGTTTGTCTATTATTAGGTAAGATAGATAGATATTGTGTGTCCTTATAATATTCCTTGGATACAAAATGTCAGCACTACAAGTTCACAAATTCAGTGTAAAATGGAATCAAAATCCTGGGTTGTCTCCCTCCCACTGGTCTATTACTCAATTTGACTTCACTTATGGCCTGACCTTGAACTCATAGGACTCTTCAATGATGACCTCTAGTTTGGGGTGTTTACCCAATACTGGCTTTCCCATTTCTGCTATTCTCTTGGCTTCCTCTTCCTCCGGAGTCAGCTTCCTGTCTGTCACCTCTGCAACAAAACAAAACCAGAGCAGCTTCAGCACACTCTCCATTCTCTTAAACATCTAACTAAAGAGTAGTAGGCCTGGACAGTGGGCAAAAAGCATTTAGCTCTTGGGAATGAGGATTCTGTGTACTTTGGGTGCCTCTTTCTATAAAGCACTGGATACTTTATGACCATCAGACCATCAAAGGCTTCCTTGCAGGTCTGGCGTAAGCACTCTTCTTTCTATTTTATACCTCAGTGAGCAACCTGACTTCTGAGAAATTCCTCCAAGGAAAGTCAGTCCCTAAGTTGTTTGGTCAGATATGGGAGAGATAGGAGCTTATCTCTGGACCTTTAACAATTTTGAACTGTTGTGCCTGACTGTTCAGCTACTCCATGTAAAAGTTCTTGAAGGTCAGAGGCACATTTAATCCAAAGGTAATGTCCACTGGTTCATAGTAACATTGGCTTCCAGCACTCTTGGCACTGTCCCCTTTATAAAGGAGAAATCAGTATTGTTTCCAGGAATATCTACATTTCATACAAATGGGTATTATCCTCACAATGAGAAACTTGAAATATTTCCCCCCAAAACTTCATGGTTTTCCAACAGGAAGCAGGCATGCTTCTTTTGGAACACAAATATTTGTTCAAAAACACAACAAAAGAGAAATCTTCCTTTACTTCCTCTGAAGGTATTCCTTTGTCCCTCAGCATCTTGACTAATTTACCAGTGGTCCCTTCTCGTGTGGGAGAGTTAGAAAGTTTTTCCACTTCAGCTGGAAAGTCCATTGTAAGACCCCTTCACCATGAAGACCTGTATTCTGGATTACAGTGAAATAGAGATGGAATATTTTTATTTCCATTTAATTAGATAATTGGTCTTGGCAGTCTGTTTCTTTCAGAGCTTGTTTAAACATTTTCCCATCCAAGTCCACATTCTTGCATGCAATTGCTTCTTTTGTTCCATTCCTTAGCTGCTTTTGCTCCACATAGTGAGTAGCCTAGGGAAATCCTTTGGTCTTTGGATAATTTCAAGGACAAAATGGGTCAGAGGCCAAGAAGATCTTCTCTGTCTTGGGAATTGGTGAGACGTGGGGAGGGGTTAGACTCAAGCTCTTGAGGTTGCAAGGAAAGGAATTCACTGAGTGGACTCTAAGCCAAGGGTATAAGTTACCAAGCAAATAGCCCATTTTATGTATGGATTTTCTCAGTCAACCTGAATGAAGATGGTAAGAGAGCGCACAGAGAATTCCTGAGCTGGCTGTTTTACTCAGGGCTCTGGCACCAAACACAGAAGGTAATTCCAAAATGCTTGGGAGCTGTCCGTGGTGCTGTCCTAATGTTAGTGCTGGTGATGGTTTTCAGCAATAATTATTTCTCCAGGTTCTGTGTTCCTCTGTATACTTCTAAGTCAGCAGATACCTTCTAGCAGCCTGGATTCTTTAAATTCTTTAATTATGAGTCTCTCCTTAGTTAATTCTGAAGGTAAATCTGGGTACATCTAGAGTTCTGGTTATAAAATTAGCAATCCTAGAAGCCAGACTGCAAGTCATTCTGAGAAAAAGCCTTCGGAAAAAGACATAGATTCCTTAAAAGCATGGGTACTCTTTTCCTCTACCTGTGGATTTTGGCAACACATGACTATTCTAGCAGTGACAATATTATCTCCCCCCCCCCCAATTTCTCCATGTCAGACTTTATATGTGCACAAGAACTATATACCAATATAATGAGCTCCCCAGTGACATATAAATGTACCTGTCTAACCCCATGTCTAGCAATCAATCTAGCATTATATCCACCTGGCAGAATATTGATCAACCTACTGACCTGTCCACCCTGTGGTGATAGTCAGTTTTTCCATCTAGCTTTTCTGCAGAAATGTCTTTGACAAATAACCAATCCTCTATCTTTGTATCTCCCTCAGCCACATATATATATGTCTTTGTTCTAACTTTTGCCTCTACCTCCCACAGGTCATACACACACACACACACACACACACACACAAAGATTGGGATTTAACTTAAGCTTCTTTATACTTTTAGCATATTTGCACAAACACAAATAGAAGCTTAAAAAGGAAAAAAAGGTATTACAGTATTTCCTAGATCTTTCAATCCAAATCTGCTAAACCTTTAATTTAGGAGTCATTAGTTATATATATATATATATATATATATATATATATATATATATATTCCATTTAAATCAACTCTCACTTAGTGTCTTAGTTTTATAATAATTCCCCCCTTTTTATATTTTTGTAATAATTATTCCTTGTGTTCAAATTAATTTCTGGAGTAATAAATCTCAAACCTAAAAGATCATAGTGATTCTGATCACTTGTTTATGTGACTCTTCAGAAATTTCAAGTAAAGAGAATAAATGGCAAGTGATGTTGATATTCAGACTGGCTAAATAAACTCTCAAATATAAAAAAAGGAGGAGGGAAAGAGAGAAGCAGAGAGGAAGAGAGGGGGAGGTAGAGAGAGAGAGAATAGAATGGAAAATTAAGCAAATATTGGAAGAACAAAGAGCTTGCCAGGCCTGACAGGAATAAATTGTCGGGGATGCTCTACAGACATCCTCGGGAAGAAGTGGGGTGATACCACCCGTGCTCTCACTCCCAGGTCCCTGCACTCGGTGCAGAAGCTCAGAATGAACATATTTACTCTCTGTCTTTCACCACCAGGCACTGTTAGTCATGCTAGCCTGTCCTTCCAGGAAAATCCAAACAAAGATTTAAAATTCCCAGTGAATATAATGTCTAACCAATGACTTCTAAATTAAAGGTTTAGCAGATTTGGATTGAAAGATCTAGGAAATACTGTAATACCTTTTTTTCCTTTTTAAGCTTCTATTTGTGTTTGTGCAAATATGCTAAAAGTATAAAGAAGCTTAAGTTAAATCCCAGTCTTTGTGTGTGTGTGTGTGTGTGTGTGTGTGTGTGTGTGTGTGTGTGTGTATGACCTGTGGGAGGTAGAGGCAAAAGTTAGAACAAAGAAGCCCAAATATCTTCTCAGGCAAGAGGCTGAGTGAGGTGGGGAAGGAACACCCAGTGCTAGACATCAATACCCTGGGAGATTAGTGGAAAATACAGGGTTGGAAATAGTCCTTATCCTATTGGTATGAAGAAGGAACAAGAGGCCAAGGATGCTGGAGTCATTGTTTTTTCAGGGAGTGAAAATGGAGGGGTTTGCCTACATTTTTTGTTTAAGGTTCCAAAGAGGCAAATGTCCTTACTATGTACACTTCCCCTTTCTCAAACCCAGGGAGTAGCGAATCGGTGGCTTTGAACACCAATGGATTCTATAAGATGCTTTGCCTCTTAAATGACCTGAATTTTTCATATGTTCAAAGAACTTATAAAATGTAAAATGTTCTCTCAAAACATATTGAGACAAATCGTAGTGCTCACTTCACCTGTACCACAAGCTATGGTGTCGCTGGATGAGATGGACACGCTTTCCTATCTGCTCACAGCTAACTCTTTACCATTGGACCCCACTGATCCAAGCACACGGTTCTGTCCAAGTAGGTGTATGTGCTCCAACAGGCTCGAGATTCTGCATGAGAATCCCTCTAAAAGAGAATCTCTGAATTTTCTATTTCCAGCCGGACAATTATCCCCACCCTCCATTATATCTCAATTCTTCTTGCTGTTCATAGCACATGTGACTTCAAGCATCGGTGGCAAATAAATCAAAGTTCTAGCAATTTAAATCTCAGCTGTGCTAACATGGAAGATCTCCAGGATCAGTAAAATTCCAGATTCTTAAAAAATTGCTTTTCACCATCTCACAGCAGCTCCCGATTCTTTTTCCCTGGATCACTCAAAAGATCAAAGTATTTTCTTTCAAATGCCATCATGATCCTATTGGGAGATTCAGCTTTAACTTCTCACCTCCTCTCTTGCCTCACGGTCTGAGATGGCAGATAAATGAAGACTTGGAAGAAGACTATGATCCACTATCCCTTCCTAGTCCCAAAAAGAACCAGCCTAGACCTTTGCCCACGAACACCAACAGAAACGGTGTTGGAGACATGTCTATTTCTTTACAATTACTTCAATTGAGAAAATAAATCTCGTGGCCTTTAGGAGAACTTGTCAGGTTAACTTGAGCTTACAGGACATTAAATAAATCAAAGGACATTAGTCTTAACCTGAATAAATGGCATTGGCAAGCAGTAGAAAGGAGAGGGAGGCGAGGCACCTCTTACCTGGAGACAACAGGAGCGCTGTTTGCGAATGGATACCAGACAAGGGGGGAGAGAGAAAAGGAAAGAGCATTAAGGTCCCATCTCGAAAGTATCCCCAGGTTTTGTGGTTGCAGCAGCAGAAAAAGCAGGGAGCTTAGTAGGTGAGAGCTCTGCAGCCACATGCAAAAGGCAGCGCTTAGAGCATGCGCAGCAGCAGCAGCAACAAGAGTCGGGGGGCCGCTGGAGAGACTGCTGAGCACCAGGGCCCTGCAATTATGAGAGGTTTCCCCACACCTTCTCTGTAGCTCTGAGGGTCAACCTCATAATTAGATCATGCCCAGCCTCCCAGTGCTCATAACATTTTCACGACCACAGATAGCTTCATAGCTACTGTGTTTGCCAGAACTTCGAATTCCCCTGAGAGAAAGACCTGCAGAACGTTTTCCTTGAGTGTGTTTTTAAAAATAGATGTAGCCTGGAAGTCAGGGCTGTGCACTCCCCCCATTTTGGGTCGCCTGTGCCTGGTGGTCACTGCAACTAGTAGTTTGTTCAATAAAAGTTTGCTATTTGCTAAATGCTTTGACAATTATATTTTTTTTCATAAATCCTGTGGTGTTACATCTCTGGATGGTGGCCTTTGTGTTCCAAAATTCTTTAGAAATACAACTCAGACCTGTGACCCGTCATCCCATAGTCACAGTTCCTGAAGACACGTGGATCCAGGATATTTATGGTATAAATTCAGGGAGAACAGCAAATGACTTTTTCTGTTTTCTACCATATAGAATTCCAAGGGGTAATGGATCAATGAATCTCCTTACCACAATGAGATTATAGATGATAGATAGATAGATAGATAGATAGATAGATAGATAGACAGATAGATAGTTCATTCTGCTCTCCTTATAAATCTGCATGAAAGAGCCCCTCCTGGGCCCCATTTCCAGTGGAGACCGGAGATCCAAACACCTGGTAGTTCAGACAAGGGACAACTCCTATTAAAGATTCCTGCTGCCCTCTTTTTCAGTCTGACATGCCTCCCAACACCAGGATCATCCCTAGCACAGCCAGATGGTTTGCAGTCAGCTGCAATTCCATCATTCTCTGCTCATTCTCTACATGAATCTGAGACCTACCACCTAGCAGTTAAAGATGGGTCAGTGAGTTCCATTTCTTCCAGCTTTGAGTGGCACCATACCCTCCAGGTGTTGCTCCTGCTGTTGCTGCTGAGAGATGCTGAAGCTAAACTTTTATCTATATTGATTCCTGGGGTCAGGTGAGAGTCCTTAATCCCCTGCTCAGATACCCCAAGGGCAAGCAGGAAACAACACAGCTCTGTGAGTACTGGAAGCATCTGGGCAGCTTGTCATGGGGAACCCGTGAGTGTAGTAAGAGGAGGCACAAACAGGCCCCATTTGGGGGTTGGGGGAGTGCTTTCTCTTCCCAACTCAGACTTTCCATGTCCAGGCCCAGGCCCAACAGCCTTGACTGTGCTACTCAGCATTGCTCTCAGAAGTCCATTCTAGACCCCAATACTTACTCTATATCAAGACAACGATGTTTCCTAGTCATTCTCCCTTTTCTCATCCCCCAGCTTATTCAAAACTTTAAACCTCACCTCTGAAATCTGGTTTGTTTTCCAAGAATACAATCTCCTATTTCAAATCCAGTTCTTTACTTTTCTTTTTTGAGAATGTAATTGTCGTTTTGACCATGCAGAGACTATGCTACTCTGAATACCTAAGACTCTTCCATGCAGCAGTGATAATGAAAAGCAATCTCCACTGTACTACTTCTCACTCCAAGAACAGCAGGGAATTCTAGAAATCAGGATGGATTTTCATTTGATTCTGAGTCTAGATACTCAAGCTTTATGACCTTTCCACCTTATGGTCTGATATTAAAATATGGAAAGAACTGAAGAAACCAAAAATTAACCCATAGCCAGTGGTCGGCAAACCTTGAATGTGGCTCTTCCACAAAATACCACGGCCTGAGCGAGAGTCTATTTTGAAAAAGTGGCGTTAGAAGAAGTTTAAAAAATTTGGCTCTCCAAAGAAATTTTAATCATTGTACTGTTGATATTTGGCTCTGTTGACTAATGAGTTTGCCAACCACTGCCATAGACAATAGAACAGGAATCTAGGAAAGGGACATCTTTTCTATTGGCACCTTTCATCTTGGCATCTTGGTCATTGGGAAGAACTGGGGTATATCACACGGATGGCTAGATGAAATCTTTGTACCTATGCTCAACAAACTCCCCCCACACAGCTCCCCCCTCCAGGTCTAGGCTCCACAGGGATTTACTGACATCTCCTTGGACAGAGAATCTAGTGTGACACAAAGGGGTTCTCAGACATAGGGAATCCACAGGTGTTTGTGTTTGACCAACTGCCTCTCTTGCTGTTGGTAGGAATTTATTGGGGAGGCAGAAAAGAAGAGCCTCTTTACTGGTGGAATAAAGTTATGGACAGACTTCCAACCTATTTGTCTTGTCCAGAGCCACTGCCTTCTTTCCAGCTACCCTGGAAAGATATGGTCCTTTTGCTGCTTTCATTTACACCTAAGTTCTTGGGACTTGAAGACGAATTAAGCTAGTAATTGCTGCATCCAACCAGTCATGAGGATGTAGAGTAAATGCACAAGGGAGGTGGGAATGATGTAGGGCAGGTATTGAGGCAATTTCTGAGAATATTCTCAGTGGCAGAATTTGGAGGATTGGCAGGAATACAATCTGGGAAGCAATGGAGCCAGAGGGTTTTTTTTTCTTTTCTTTCTTTTCTTTTTCTTTCTTTCTTTCTTTCTTTCTTTCTTTCTTTCTTTCTTTCTTTCTTTCTTTCTTTCTTTCTTTCTTTCTTTCTTTCTTTCTTTCTTTCAGCACTCTTTGGCAGTCAGGATCATGGCAGCATCTTATTGAGTGGCCAAGGAGAGAATGAGTAATAGAAGATGGAGCAGGCTTCTGCTTCTATATAGAATACCAGATGGGTCCAAACCAGTGTGGGCATAGAAGTGGTCCAATCCTGTCTCCAACAGGAGACAATGAGAACTGATAAAGCCTATGGGTCTGAGAAGAAGACCTGTCAGTGAAATACAGTTCTTTGGAAGTTTAGTTGCTAAATCACTTAGATTTGTCCTTGGATGAAAGGATTTATGATACAAATATGAAGAAGCTGCAGAATCATCACACTTTCTGACAAACAGGTGGGTCTGTTCAATCTTCCATAAAACTCCCAGCAGCATATGTCTCTTGGAGGGGAGTGAGAATGTCCTCCTGTTGGTATTTCCCAAGGGTACTCTTACCCATTCCCATACATATTTGTCCCAACACTTTCTAAGTAGTGGCTTCCAATCATTTTCTTCAAGGGAAGAAATCTTTCCTTACCTCTACCATGGCTGCAACATAACCAGTCCCTTAGGAATGGAACCCTGGCAGGTGTTCCAAGAGGCAGCATGTCCAGAAGGAAGGAGATGAGACCACTTCTCTGGTGTGGGATCCGGGTTATCTTGGGAGCTGAGTGATATGCTCATTTGCAGATATGAAGCAAAAGCAGCCTTCTGTGAACTGTTCAACACCGGTTTCTCAAGGATCAGCACCAGCTTCACCATTTAGAGTCCCTTCTCCAATTGGAAAAGTCAATACTCTGGGCCTGCTCATTATCAGTCCTTCTCCAGGGCTAAGGAGACTTCCTTCCCTTTGCAGACTCTCAATTTTCTGCTTTAAATATTGTCTTATCCTAAAGTAGCTTGAATCAAGTACCCTACCTTGGACTAGGAACAGAGGTAGAATGGGATGGGGTGGAATGCCAAGGAGAGGAAGAATAGCTCAGGATTGCAGATTACAACCTCAGAAGCCAGTTCTCTCTCTCAGAGAGTTTTCAGAAGCTGTGGCCTCTGACAAATGGCATACCTTTTTATGCCACTGTCTACCCAACTGTGAAATAACCAGATAAAACACTTACCTCCATGAAAGACAGAGGGGCCTATGGGACACTCTGCAAGTGAAAAACCTGCCAAGCATTCAAGGGAGGTTGGGGAACGCAGCAGAAAATGGTCAAGGCATCATTGCAACATGGGCCCCAGACCCCCATCAGACCCTCCCCCATTCAATCCAGGCTAGAGAGTGAGGGATGGGAGGGGAAGAAGGCAGGGAAGGGGCACCAGCATGCATTGCATCACATTTCTTTATTTTTTTTCTTCTCCTCCCCACCCACCAAGGAATCCCCACATTTACAGGTTATTGTGTGTGTGAGGGAGGGCAGGGGGCTGCAGGGGAGAGTGCAGAGGACAGTGGTAATCAAATCATTGGAACACAGGGCGAGAGTAACTCATGAGGGTAATGAGGAGCCGAGGCTGCAGTGCTGACCAAAAGGTGGTAAAGGAGGACTTGGAAATAAACTTAGGCTGAGAAGGCAGAGATGATACCGAAACAGGGTGAGAGCGAGAATACAGGAGGGAAAAGAATAAAAAAAAGTATGTTGGTCAAAAGAAGGAAGGAGGAAAAGGGACAAAAAACAGAGAGAAAAAAATATAGTTGCTTTTTTTTGTTGTTGCTTTTCAGTTTAAAATTTTTTTCTTTTTGTTGTCTTATTTATTTTATTTTTTTAAAGAATCTCACACCTGATATTCCACGTTCCATCCTTTTCGGTTCACCAAGGGCAATGAAGAAATTCTCTTGCCTTTCGTATTCCTCCTCATCTACTATTTTAACCCTTATGGTTTTCCTGTAGGGACAACAAGAGAGAGAGTGTGTGTCGAATGGGTCGGCAAATTGGTTGGTCACTTGGATCACAGCCTTTAAAATCATCTCCCATCACTCTTGGCATGCAGCCCAGTCCCAGGTGGCTTTGACAAGACTAAGGTGGATTGGATTATTCTGATATTTTATAAAATGGTCTTAGCTTTTTTTGTCTTCTTGGTCATAGTTGTCCTTATGGATGAGAGGAAAAGAGAGCCAGGAGGCAAAGAGGGCAAAAAGATGAAAGGGATCCAGAAGGAAGTGGTAAGGGGGAAAGGGTTGATGGTGGGGAGGAGTCATCTCAGATCCTGCTGATGGTTAGTAGCAAGTGAGTTGGGCAACACATTCCATTGGGTGTCACATGGTAACAGTGGCATTTCTTTGAGCAGCAGTAAACTACTGGTCCACTGGGTCTGACCCAGGCCCCTTCTACTACAGGAAATATGTCAACAGTACTAGCCAGGGACTTATTTCCATTCCTTGTGTATATACCCATTCTTATGTGAGCCTCATAAAGAAAATTTCTTAAGGAAAGTATAAGGAAGGGAAATGAGAGAGAGAGAAAGAGAGAGGAGAGAAAGCAAGGAGGGTGAAATCCTATGATCTCATTCTTTATCTCACAGGGCTTCCATGGTGGAAACTAACATAAGATGTTTTAGTACTATCTGATATAGGACTCCTTTACTATTTATACCTGATGCACTCCTGGGAAAGCGTGGAGAAAATTATGTAAATCATCACATTTTATATCCCAAGGATCCAAGGGACAAGGTGATGGGGGTTTCTGTTCATTTCTGGGCATCTCAACAATACACTGTATCCTTTAAAAACAAGTCATCAGAGAATCAAAGTTTTCTTGAAAATAGCTCTCCCCTGAAGACTGGCATGAGACTGGCATGGGCCCATCATCATGTAGTTGCTGTGTGTGTTTGGATCTCCCTGTGTGGCTCCTCCATGAACCAAGTGGAGTTGGTAGGTCTCAACAGTGAGCCATGCTTTTTTCTTCTTCTTCTTCTTCTCTTTCTCTCTCTCTGGACTTAAATGCTTACTAAAGGGCAAAGAAGTGCCAAATAAATAATAGCCTAAGTGCCTCTGAGGCTCCTCCTCCATTTTAAAGCAGGCTCATCTTTGCTTTGTATGAAAAGGTAGGCTTATCGGAGTTGGTTTGTTAGGCACAGGACTTGCTGATGTGTGAGTGTGAGTGTGTGTGTGTGTGTGTGTGTGTGTGTGTGTGTGTTGCGAGTCACTTTTTGGTCACCTTTCTAGCACTCTTTTGGACACCTTGCTTACTGGAAAAGACAAAACTCACTGATCGTCAAGAAGCATTTTCTGGGAACTTCTCCCTAGGCCCCAGACCCTAGGCTGTCTACGAGATGTGAGCCCAGCCTGCTGTTCCACTGCAGGGACTCAGCTGTGTGATGGGAGCGGGCTGCTGTATGACCATGGGAATGGCCTGAAGGGATATGATTGACAGTTCTGCCAGGGAAGGTGTATTGCTGCAAATACTAGCAGCTCCCCCACCACAGTGTTATCTTTCCAGAAGAGAATTTTCGGGCTTCCCTCTTAGAGGCCTGGAGTGTATGGGTCATTTAAGTTGGAGGCAAAAGCTCCATCTACTCTTTGACTTCTTGATGAAGCTTCCACTCAGGACAGGATCCTCTTTTCCACCCTTGTAACTCTCTGCCTCTTTATCTAGATGCTCCTCATAGAGAGAGCAGAGAACTACCAATAGGTCTTTGATCTAGACCTGGAACTCAAACTTGTGCTTTCAGCTCCATCAAGGTCAGGGAGAGATACACACCTTGGTAGCAGGGGATGTAGCAGAGAAGATGGCTCCTGAGGCCTGCACTGGGGAATGGGAAGAACCACAAACAGAATCTAAATCTAGTGATTCTCAATGCCCAGGGACTATAAGCTTAGCCCTGAGAATAAGTGCTCCATGGAAATCCGTGCTGAGAGCCTGGGCGAATTTCCAAGGGCTGCTGTCCTGCCTGGCGCTGTGCTATCTGGTCTTTTTCTTTCCTGTATATTAAGCCGCTTAGGAGAATTAGGGAGCCTCATACACATACTCGCAGGGCTGTGGCTCTTGGTCTCTCTCTCTCTCTCTCTCTCTCTCTCTCTCTCTCTCTCTCTCTCTCTGTCTCTCTCTCTCTCTCTCTCAGTTTTTCCCAATATCCATTTACCCCTCTTATAAAAATTACCACTGGCTCTTGAGCATCCCTCTTACAGATACCATGTGACAGGCTGGCAGATGTTAGAACACAGCTGGGAGCAAAGAGAGAAGAGGGAGAGAGAAAAAGAGAGAACAAGAAAGGAAACAAGGGGAAGGGAACCAGAGAGGTAAAAGAAAAGGGCAGAGGAGACAAACAGATTGGAGGAAGAAAGAAACAAAAGAGGAGAGAAGAATGTTAACGTTAGTGTGGAGGACAGGGTACTACACCTTTCTGAAAACTCATATCCACCATGCGGGGGCCCATCATCTCAATGAAGTAATTCTTGTTTTTCTGATATGCCTCACCATCAATTACCTTGATGGGAAATGTTTTGCTGTGGATGGAAAAAATAAGTAACATAAGCAAGGAGTAGAGTGGGGAGGGAGGGCAAGCCAGGCAGAAGAAGAAACAGGAAGAGAAGGAAACCGTGAAAAAGTCCAGAAAGGTCAAAGTTTGCCCCAACACCACAGGGCACAAAGGACAGGGGCTGCCCCAATCCCCTCCCTGCTTCACTGGGCCCCTCTTGGGCTTCATGTGCTTCAGGATATGACCAGATGTGAAGACCGGAAAGTTCACAGGCTTTACAGTCAAAGGTTCTGGGTTCTGGTCCTCGATTTGCTATGTGACCTTGGACAAATACTTTAACCAGTACACAAGCAGGTTGAATAATGCTTACACATCCCAGGGCAGTTCAAGAGCCATGAAATACTACACATATAATGGCTCAGGCATTTAGGTCCTCCCACAATGCTTGCTGCCTTATCCAGCTGATGTGGATTTGAAAGCTTTATTTTATAGTAAAAGGGGAGGGGGAGTTGGTCGGTGGGAGTCTTGCCGGAAAATAGCAGGACTTCTCCCTTTCTCTGGGCAGTGACTGTCACAGGGAGCCCAGGAGGCTCCATTCGGTTGAGTTGCACATCCTGGGAATCCACAATGGGCCTCAGAAGCTACCGAGGCTCGCTCTCTCCAAATGAGCTTTGCAGCCCAAGGGAAACATGGACCAGGTCACATTAACTCCAGCGTACTCTGAATTGTGATGAGCTTATAAACCCTACGGTGATATTGTGACTAGCACAATCATATTGGTTTTTATATTAAAAGGTGTTATTTTGCTAATTTAAACATTGAAAAATATAAACCAATTTTAGTAACCCTGTTTCGTTTTTGTTTTTTGTACTTTTTTTTTTTTTTCTATATTACTAGGAGCTTTAAAAAACAAAGACAGACCTGGGCCAGGCCTCTTCCAACCTTTGCTTAATGATAGGGATATTTCAGGACTGGACCTGAGTCAAGCTGTTTAGGCCTGGCCCCAGGGGTGTGAGACATTGCTGGATGCTGAATCTCCCTCAGCCATAGGAAGGATGGGATCCCGCAGAAACCCTGTCAGCTGCCTGTAGGCGTGCCCCCTTTCAGACTTAGAGACCTGGCTTTTGTTGGGGAGACTAAGACCTTCAGATCCTCCTGTTATTTTTTGTTATGAAGTAGGAATACCTTTACATTCTGACAACCTCTCTGCTCTTTTTCAAATCACCCTGAGAGCTGGGTGTCTACAGAGCTTCCTTTGTCCACACTGTCAATTCCACAGAAGCAGATGTGAGTTCATGGCTCCTGAAGTGGATGTAACAACAGTTACTAATTCACCCTGGCCCCCAGTGCCCAATGCTTCAAAAACAAAGACTTCATCACCTCCTTACTTGCTAGCAAGCACCCACCTTTGGCTACAGACACACCTGGCTAGCCACCATTGGAAGGTGAATGTTCAACCTTCAAAAGGCCACAATACTTTGCCTTTCCTTCCTCCAGAGCATGGCATTGGAGTGGAGACTGACGCCTGGGGTCTCATCCAACCCCCACCTCTCATTAGCTGATAACATTGAGCAATTCGCCAAACGTCTCCAAGTCTCATTTGTAAAGTGGAGTACTAGAACCTACCTATAGTGCTCTTAAATGAGATCATGCATGGGAAGTGCTTGACGGTGCATGTTTCCCTAGAAAGTGTTTAATAACTAGCAACCCTGGTTACTAAGAGCAGCATGACCTAGTTGGTGGTTTGAGAGTAATATATAAGGGGATCTTATCATTTCCAGCCATTAAATCAAAAAATAAGGGGAAATCAATATATAAGACTGTTGACCCAAGATATGGTACAGGCTGGAAATAGAAATTAGGTTAAGAAAGAACTGGCTAAAGCAGTATGATAGATCCCAAATGGGTTGAGGGGCTTGGAACGTGAAGGGTGGTAGGATGGAGAGCAACTCTATGATCATAATCTCCCAAAATCTGGTCCTATGCCCTTGTCCTTAACAAACTCCGGGCTATACAGATCACATGTTATAAAACATAACCTGACTTGTGCTTCTTATGGCTTTCAGTGACCAGATAAACAGAATATAAGAAGCCACAAACAACTTTATAGAAGATAGGGAAATGAGGACACACATTAGGTAGTGGCGAGAGGAATTTGGGTTAGCTAGCTGGAACCACTTGTTGGAGGGTGTTATGCGTGGAGGAGGCGGGTGTGAGATGCCCTCATGAGATCATTCTTGGGGAAGGCACCACATCTGTTTGAACATAAGGTGTCACCTTGCCTGAAGTCCAGAGAAATCCCTTGCAGCTCTTGAAAACTGAGAAAGTTCTCAGTTCTGTTCAAGCCACAAATGAGGCCCAAGAATATTTAAATTCCATCGGAGTCACCAGCCAGGTCTTGAGTTCTCTTTCTAAACTTATTCTTCCCCATTTCCATCAATGGCACCATCATCTATCAAATTGCTCA